TCCCGCAGAGCTCATATGCCGTGAAGGCGTCTCCCCCTCCTCACCCCAGCCGCTGGTAGCAGCAGGGGCTGTTTTCCCCAGCAGCTGGAAGGAGATGATGTGCAGGGACAGGAATGTGAGGGCAGGCAGCCGGGGCAGCTCATGGACAGCGTGGGGTCCCAGAGGCCAGGTCAGGTCAGTTCATCCATGGGGCTCCGCAGATGAACCGACCTGGCCTGGCCTCTGAGGTTCTGGTTCTCCCCACATCTCCACCAGCCACCCCACACAAGGTGACACCTTCAGCTTGCTGTCTGGTGGCTTGTAAGGGTCTGCATCTCGGTTAATGCCCTGCAAGGTGCATGAGCTGGGGGAAGCAGAATTGTTCACTTCTACAAGCCGGCATGAAATCAAAGCTATGCATTCAAAAAAACATGACATTCCCCTTGCCGGTGGGGGCTCTGCCTGGTGGGAGGGCTGAGCGCTACGAAAACACTTGGAGAAACAGTTATATAATGAAGGACAAGGTCCCAATCCAGCCCTTGGCTTGATGAGGCAGCTCTGGAAGGAACTGAGCTCCAGGCTGCAGCTGCCCAGCACCCTCCAAGATCCAGCCTTGGTCACTGTGGTCCATGCTGCTGCTGAGGGGTGGAGGTGGGAGAAAGGCTGCCAAATGCTTTTTCCCAAGCTGGGAGATGTTCTGCATGCTCAGAGTTGGTAAGGCAGGGCACAACTCACATCTGTGGGCTTAAACAAGGCCCCTTTGGTGGTAGGAATGGGACAAAGGCTGGGATGGGATGAGATAGACCAGGACAGACAAAGGGATAGCCCAGGACTGATGATGCTGCTTCCTGCAGGCATTTAGGCTTTCATGCCACTGCCCAGGTGTCTTGGACTCAGTGGTGGCACATCCCGGTACACATCATCTGTCTGCATGCGCCAAACATGTCCTCAGGTTAGGGGAAAGGACTCTGGAGAACTGGTCACAGCAAAGGGCTTTATCTATAGAGCTCCTCCCATATTCTCCTGCTCTGAAATGGGGGGCAGCTGGGCAGCCTGCCTCCTGCAGCTGGTCCTGCTGCCACCCCACACAGAGGGGTGACTTGCTTGGTGTCACATGTGGTTCTGGAAACCCCTACTGCTCTCGCACAGGCGAGCAAGGGGGGACACAAGGAAAAGGCTCTGGGATGGGATTCATCACTCTTCCTGCGGCACCATGAAGTTGCACACAGTCTGCTCGGATGCATGAGCAGGCTAAACTGTGACATTAATTAGAGCTGACAGTGTTCCTGGAGGGAGCTGGCAGAGCAGCAGCACCAAAGCTGCTGCTGCTGGGTCTGTGTGCAAAGCCAGTCTCTGCACCAGGCTGGCCTGGCTGTGCCATGGCCCTTGAGTCCTGCTATGCTGCAATCTGTGCTTACTCTGGCTCCAGAAATCATGGTGGGAGGTACACTCTCAGTCCCAAGGGACAGGAGAGGTAGTGCCCGAATCCAGCCTTGCTCTGCCCTTTCAAGCCAGCCCTGACTGCATCTGGGCACTGCCTTTCCCAGCCCTGCACACTCCCTTCTGGCTCTCCCCTCTTGTTTTGCCTTTTTACCCCAAAGCTCTCCAGCCCTCAGTGCCACTGTCTCTCTCACACAGCTCTTTTCCCAACCCAGTTTCCTGCTGAGTAAGAACTGCCACTTGCTGCTGTTTCAGCAAATGCCATCGAGGATTGCCTGTACTGTAACACAGTGGTGAGGGCTCCTCCTCCTCCAGGCAAGGAATGGTTAAGGGAATTAGGATGAAAAGTTAATATAAATAATTCGGTAGCTCCTGTAGGAAGATTGCGATTTAGCTTTATTATCATAATTACATTTTCAATCACTCTGCTCATACTTACAGAGCAGTAGAGTCAAATGTGAATGCAGCTGCCTGCTTTTCCTACCAGTGACTCCTCATTCTGCTGCTCGAAGCAGGTCAATGGGGACATCAAGCCAGGCAGCTGGGATGTCAGGTAGGGATATGGTATTTCCCTAGCACCTTGTTTTGTGCATTGGGAAGCTTCATTCCCCTCTGCATGGCACAGGGATTTTAACTTCAGCTCCAGGATCAGCAATGCGATCATCTGAGAGTAGCCCATTTTGGTGTAAAAATATCTCTTCTCCTGGAAGTGGAGGAAAATAGTCTAGAAATACTTTTCTCTGAGCAGGGAAACTTGCATTTTCTTAGCCTATGCATGTTGTGGTTGATGATGCCCAGAGGCACCTCCATCCATGTCCGTGGTGGCCCAGGAGATGAGACCGGTGCAAGCAGAGAGCAGGAACTTCCATTCGCAGTAACTAAAGCCAGTTGTTAGGGATGATGCATCTGAACATGGCCAAGACCATGTTTGCCTTGCAGCTTCCCTCTGCCTCTGCTCACCTGGGAGGAAATGGAGGCTTCCCAGCAGCAGAGGGAGGTCCTGGGGGTCGTGCCCTGCCCACTGCCTTCTCTGGGGGTCCCAGAAGAACCCAGACAGAAGGCAGCTTACCAGGGCCCTGGCAGTGATAGCTACCATGGCCAGGGGACAAATGAGCAAGGGGAAGATGCAGCTACAGAGAGCTGAGTATGTGCTGTCTCCATCATGCACAGACTCCTGGGGAGCAGCCAGTAACTGAGAAAGTCCTTCCCCATCCCAACATCTGCCTTCATTTGGAATGTAGACTGACCGACCTGGAGGTTTCCCCAGTGCAGGAACAACATACAGGTCCCTGCTCTGCCCTGGCTCAGCAGCAGCAACTCCATCCCATGTCCCAGTGTCCCCCCAGGCATCCCCAAAATACCTCTGCACATTCAGCTATGATCAGTGCAGGACTGGGGCAGAACTGTGAGGTCAGGTTCCCTCAAGGCAGTCTGCCACTGTCCCTGCAGGTGACACTGTGTCCCATCCTGCCTCCCACACTGCTCTGGCAAGTTGCAAGATCAGAACTGAGCCTCTTATCTTTGATCTTTTAATTTTACTTTCTTAAGCAATGTCCAGGCTTTAGAGAGTGTCTCATAATGCAAAGGCTCTTCATGGCAAGGAGGGGAGTCCCTGCGCGAATACACCAGTTGTCCCACACGCACCAGTACAGCATTATCCCATACATCATTACTGCAGTTATCCTACGCACCAGTACAGCAGTTTTCCTACATGCACCAGTACAGCAGTTATCCCCCCCCACATGACTTTGCTGCAAAAAACCTCTGGCTGGAGGCTGGATCAGCAAATTTCTAGCAGAGCATACATGGTACAGCTGTACAGGAGACCCTAAACTCTACTGGGATCTGCTGGATCTGGCAGCCTCTGTAAGATCTGCCTTCTCCCTGTTTGGACTCCCAGCCCAATCCCATTGAAGACCTTTTGGTTACTGCTGCTTTGAAGAGAGCTGAACCTGCTGCCTCTTCCCAGCTCTCGCTGCTGTTACACAAGAGAGAAACCCCAAGGAAACCAGACCCTCCAGGCTGCTGCCAGAGAGGCAGAGGAGTGAGGACCACTGCAGACACAGGGTATTGCAAGGGCCTGTTGTGCAGCAGTAGAAAGACCCAGAGTCCTTATTGCACCTCTGGGCTAATCTAGGGGTGGAGTTCATCAGCCAGGCCATAGATGGTCATTATTTCTGCTCCCCAGTTTGGGCTTCCAGGACATGAGATGTGACGTGACCTGAGCTCAGGCACTCCATGGCCATGCAGCACCCTGGCAAAAGCAGTTCCATGGACACTTACACCCACAACGCCCCATGGCACCTCTGTGAGTAACGCTCTGCAGAAAGCTATTTCAGGACCCAGCATGACTCTCCCTGATGTCAGGTCCAATTAGGTATATCCTGCAAAGCAAAAAAGTCCACTAAAGCCAGCTTCTGGTGGGACGATGACATTAAGATGTCCCAGGTGCTCATCTGGGTTCCCCGAGCAAACCAGGAGCTAAACATAGCTCTGGGAAAATGGCAGGAGGGGGTGGCTGCCGTCCTCTGCACCGAGGTCTCCTGGGGCGCTCAGCTCCTGCGTGGGCCATCCCTTCTCTTTCATACCCTGACCTTCCCCTGCCCTGCCCCTGCGCAGGCAGTGGGCGGGATTCACCTCCCTGCACTAGAGCTATAGCAGAGATCAGTCTGGGCTCATCTTGGTGGGCTTGAGTCATGCTTTACCCCACTCATCAGGGCCCATCAAATCTCACTGTCATTTCCCAAGGAAATACCCATTTGAAAAAAAGAAAGAGAAAACTAATAATTAGTCAAAATAGTGAGAGACAGAGAATTTTAGACATTTAATATTTTCATTGTCCTCTCCCACAATGGCATTATCCTTCTCTAAATAGATGCTGAGCTGAAGACATAACAACACCCCACTTCCCCCAAATAGCTCGAGCAAAACAAATGCAGGAAGTTTGGAGGGGTCAAAGCAGAGCTGTGGCCAGCCAGGAGTCTGGGCACCCCCGGGGGCTTCTTGGGGCCGCTGGGGCTTCACAGGTCTGGCAGCTGAGCTGCAGCAAGACAAGACCTAGGGTCCTGCCCTCAGTGAAATGGGGGTGCTGTCTTTGCACTGAAAAAGAGCTGATATGGGGGGTCCTCACCCTCATTTCCCATGTCTGACCCGTCCCTAGGAAGGCACCAGCGGGGCAGTGCTGAAGCATGGCAAAGGCGGCAGAGGAGACATAGACTTTACAGCCCATCATGTTCCTAAAAGCTGGCGGTGGTGGGCTGGCTGTCTGCTCCCGGTGCAGTGCGGCCCCCTCGGGAGCACCCGCCGGCTGGAACAGCCCCGGTGCCAGCTCCTGCCGTGGTGCGTTGGGAAGGAAACCGGTGTCCCCTGGTTCGGTGCAGCCAAGCCTTGCTGCGGTGTGGAGCCGCTCCTGCCGCTGTGCCGTGCGCGGGGTGACGGGGACGCCCCGGCCGTGAGCAGCTGCCGCGGGGAGTTGCTTCACACGAGGGCTTGCGGTTCCCCTGTAACGGCCGGGTGCTGTGGGGACAGCCCTCCCTGCCCTCCTACCCGAGGCAGCGGTGACATTCCCTCTCCAGGCAAGTGCCAAGCCCCACCAAGCACCTGGGGCTGTGCTGGGACCCCCGGGACGAGCCGTTTCATCAGGGCCAGGGCTTTCGCATACGAGAGCAGAGCCCCCGGCGAAAGCCACACTGAGACAGGCAGACGTGGTTCGCCCCCAGGGAAGGGGCAGCACCTCCAGACAGCATCTGCCTGCAATCCCAGTGAACCTCGTCAGGGTTCAGCTCTAGAGCAAGGCGCAGAGGAGCTCCTCCTGCCACTTAAGCAACTTCGCACAATCGTCTGTAATGGCAGAGCCATCAGTAAGTCAATCGGAGGTGCAGTTAGACCTTCCTTCCCGGAGGAATACTGTTGACTGAAGCCGAAGCACAGAGGCAGGGAAATTGCTCGATGAAGTAGTTTGGTAATTGTGAAAAAGAAGAACTTGTTTTCTTTGTCTTGCAACAGCAAATTGCGCAACGTAACCTGCAGTGGCTTCAGCTCGGCAGGTTTTCAGGAGAGGCTGTGGGGTGATTTAAAATTCAAACTGTGTGGAGGGAAATTGTAACGAGGCTGTTATAGACTGTATGGTATCCATAAGGAACGTGGCGGTGGGTGACTGAGGTGGCAGTGGTTGTGTTTGCTTTGCTATTGGTGTGACCTCCGTGGGCGTAGCTGAGCTCTCCTCTCCCATTTTGGGGGTTCAGCTCAGAGAGGAGCTGGCTCAGCCCCAGGGCTTCCCCATGTTCCCATGGTAAAATGAGCGATGACCCACGTACCAGAGATGCATTAAGCAAGAGGAGCTTTTATGAGCTCAGTTTGCTGGGTTGTCATAAGAACCATGATGGTGATGATGACTTTTACCCATGTAACAAAAAAATACTCTTTGTCAAGGTGAAGAGATGCTCTGCAGGTCAGCCCAGGGTGGAAGGAGAAGAAAGCCACCAGGAGAGCTCAATTAAGATTAATTGCTTGTTCTGCTGTCACCCCTATGTACCCCAGGCCCAGACATGAGCTGGATGTGCTAAGCGCAGGACAAAAAAATAGAAGAAAAAAATACTAGTGCTGAGAGGAACCAGCAGCAGAGTCCAGGAAGAGCCCAGGCTAGGAGATCAAACCGAAGCTAAGGTCCCTCTCCTCACCTTCTTCTGTTTCCTTCCCTCCCCAGGTGCTGCTTCCCTATTCCTGCTTTGTCATTCAGGGTCGAATGGGAGTGCTCCAGCATGAGGCAAAGACCACTGACACTGTACATTTAATTCAACTTACAAAAGGCTACTGGGTGTTAAAAGGAAAACGAAAAAAATAATCCCACAGAAGTCTTCCAGGTCTGTTTTGTCCCAGTTTTAAACGGTAAAATCTGTACTTTGTTCTCAGCTATTGTTGCAAAATTGAACCACTTTCAGCCTCTCACCTTAAAGGCTGCCTTCACGCAGAGCTGCTGAGTACAGCATGGAATGAAAGCTCTCACTTGGCCTAGAAACCTCAAGTGTGTGAACCTCACTAAAACACACACAGGGAGATGGGCTTTGAAATGGAGCAAAGCCAGAAGCCAGCGAGTCCCCACAGGATGCCTCGTGGCTGCTCCCAAGATGAGGAGTGCAACTCCAGCTGAGAGACACTCTGTACCTGTCAGTCTCGTAATGCCTCCCTGATAACAGCCCTGGCCTAGAAATAGCTCAGTGCTAGATGATGCTCTCAAGAGACTGATGAATGTCTCTGACTCTCTGCAGCATCCCAGCAGCTGGCTCCTGCCTGGCCCCACTGCGCCTTGGCTCCTCAGCACCAGGGCCTGATGAGGACCTGCAGCACCCTTGTCTGATGAGCGTTGAGGTTTGCTTGGCTGGGATGGAGGGAAAACATCCTCTCCTGGGATGGAGAGAAAACATCTTTGGTCCTGCAAACATTGTATGCACATTAGCCTCCCCCAGGGCTTGCCTCCCTGAGCAAGTCCAGCATGCAGAGCTGTCAGTTTCCCTTTCTTTTTGGAGATGTGACCATGGGAGGGGACTGAGCTTTGTCACCTCCTCCAGCTGGGACAATACCAGTGCTTGGCAGGAACATCCTGGCAATGTCAGCTTGTGCCCTCCCGGTGTCACCTTGCCCTGCTCAGCCATGGGCTGCACATCCTACTGAACTCTGCAGGGCCAGGGATGCTCCAGCAATGAGACCTGAGGCCACTCCAGCCCCATTCCCAGCCCTCTACCATCCCATACCCTGTTACTGCTTCCACTCCTCTGAGATGGCTGTGGGGTGCTGCCCCCAAGCCCTCCTGGGTCCTCCTGCACCCAGTGCCAGGAGGCTGCTGGAGAAGCCCTGATGCTAGCCAGGAGGGAGGTGGTCGCTCGGTCCTGGATTTGGGACAGCAAAGGTAACTGCAATCTGCCAAGTTCCTCCTGCTGCCCAGGCAGATCCCTGCTCTCGGCTGCTGTGCAGGATCACTGTTCTGTGCTGTGCAGGATCACTGTGCAAAGCAGAACGACTGCTGCACTTCATTTCCCAAGTGGCCACTGTTTGTTTATCAATGAACAAAGTGAGCCCTCGCCCATGTGAGCACCTCTTGCCAGCGATTCTGCACAATGCAGTGACCAGCAGTGCTGGAGGGTCACAGTACAGAAAGCCACGCTCCCATCCATCCATCCTGTCTCTCTGCAGAGAAGGCAGGGATGCTCCTCCTCTCAGCAGGTAACGCAGGGAGGGTAATTCACTTATGAAGTAATTTAGTGTAGTTCTTAGTTATTAATACTGTGCTTTCTATATTTTTTTAGGTTTTGTGTAATCTCTCCCCTGCTGACTGATGCTGTCCCAGGGAGTCAGAGCTGTGCACTGCATTAGCACTGCCTGCAAGATGTCTGGCCTGGGTGAAGGGATCCTCTCCCCTTCTTTCCACACCAGCCCCCGACCTGTCCCTGCAGTGCAGCAGGAACAGCCTGACCTCTGTAACCTGCCCCAGCTCATGGCCCCGGGCTCCTGCAGCAGCACTGACTTCTCTGCAGTCACTCTATAGGGGAAGTAAAAATCTCCTGGTATCTGTTTTATCTGCATCCATCTTAAGCACTGGAGAATACTGTTATTGGAGCTCAGCAGAAGGGTATTTTTTTTTTACATGATTGAAACTAGAATTATATGTACAAAGCTATAAACTGTGTCTGATGCCTGTCTGCTCTTGTTCACCCACAGTACCTTTCAAATAGAGTCACAGATCAGCACCATGGGGACCTGATTTGCTCCCACAGATCTCCAGAGACCCCAAAACAGGCTCTGGGTGCCTTCCCCCTCCCTGATTTGCCGTCCACAAGGCCTACTGCACTGCTCCCAGAGGCCAGGCATACTCAAGCTGCATGTGAGCAGCCTGGTTCCTGGCCCAGACTCCAACTCCAAATCAGGGCTCCCTGCCTCAGCCTCCCATTCCAAGAGTTCTTTGAGTTGCCACTATCTGATCCCTCCCTCCTGAGCATTTTGCTAAGTTGCATTTCTCATATCTTCACTACAAGTGATATATCTCATATTGGGGGGGTGTAGGGGATTTGTTATTGACACAACAGCTCTCGTCATCTGACATCTGCAGTGAGATGACAACATTTCCATAGAGCCCAGCACAGCGTGTTTGGCTCACCACTGGGGCTGCCTCAGTTTGCCTTCTAGGTGGCTAAGCCAGGAGCCAGCACCCACATCCCTCTGTGCTCCCACCATGGGAGCGCAGCAAAGACCCTGCTGCTCATGTGTGTTCCCTTTGGCTCCTGGATTCCATCTCCTCCCCTCTCTGTGGGCCAGGGAACCATGACCGGCACCAGTCTCCACGTACAGAGCCAGTAGGACTTGTAGGGATGTGCATGGAGGCATCCAACAGCGAGGCCAGTGCCACTCTGCATTGCCACCCTCTGCCAGCCCTCTCCTCAGCAGTGCCTGGAGGCAGGGAATGCTCTGCTTGGGGTGAGATGCCCGGAGCTGGCCTGTGGTGACTGCTGGAGCTGTTTTAGGTAGCTGGCCAGAGCGTCTGCTGGGCAACCAGGTTCCATGAGTTATTTATAAGCTATGGGAGGGAAGTGGTGATAAATAATACATTGGCACTCTCACGTTCTGCATGCATGTGTCTACAGATAAATATTTCATTCTCCAGGAATACACATAGATGCCTGTTGATAAATAAAAATTGGAAAATGTTCTATTGGATGGTTTTAAATCTGACTCTCAACTTGCATCCGAAGAACACGGTGTACCTTGTGTACAGCACAAAGATGCTAATTTCCCTCAGCAGAGCCTGCCTTAAATGTATCACTGCAGTGTACTGGGCACAGTGCCTAGTGTAGCACGCACACCCCAGAAACACACAGCCCCAGCTTTTCCTTCCACACCATTATTTTAACATCGCTTTTATAACAACACTATTCAAGCAGCTTTTCTGATTATACCTTATACTGACTGGGCTCAGGACACAGCTGTCAGCCTCCTAAATACTAGCACAGAGACTCAGAAGGCAGCACATTTCCTCTTCTAAGTGTCATTGGAATTTGCAGTGTGCTCAGGCATGGCTGGTGATGCCAAGCTCCTTACTGATGGTTAATTAGGCAGGTGGTTTCTCCCATAGGAAAAACAAGAGACACTGAGTAGGATGTGAGCAAACTCATGGGTCCCACCAGCCCTGCCACCAGTACAGAGCCACCATGTGCTGCTCCCTGTATCATCCTTGGGGACTCTTGGGAATCCAGGGACCTCCTGGGCTCAAAGGCAGCCGCAAGGAGATGCAGCCCTCTCCCCAAGGAGTACCTGCCCTCAGTGTTTACTGCTCAGTAAACATCAGAGCCCATGACCCAGAGCCAGCACCCACATGCAGCATTGGCCTCTGCCAGCCCAGCACCAAGGGCAGGTGAAGAAGTTGCTTTTCCCCAAAATATGGAAGATTTGGTTTCTAGAGCAGGTCTCTCCTGACTGTCTCTGAATGCAGCACTGGAAGTGGATTTAACGGGGTCGTTGTTCAATTTGGCCTTCACCAAGAAGGCCGTGGGCTGCAGAGTGCCAGTGCCTTGGCACCCGCCTGTGGCACAGCTGGCTCTGCACGGAGCCACCAGCCTGGGCAAGCAGCACACGCCGGCAGACAACCAAGTGCCAGGCGCCGTGCCTGGCTGGTTTGCCTGGTAGATGCCTGTGTAACATACTGACATATTTGGAATTTTTCCAATGGCTGTGTTTGGCTGCATTGGCTTGTGATTTTTTTTGAGTAACCCTTTTTTATGCCTGGTTATCACAGCCAGGTGCTGTGCCACACTGGCTCTGGTTCCAGCAGTGCACAGACAGCTCCCAACACCCACCACTCTGTGCTTTGTGCCACCACCCAGAGCAACAACAAGGGATTTCCCACCTGGAAATCCTAGGGACTGGGCTTCAGTGGCAGAGCTTGCCAGGGAGACTTTGATCATCAGCCTGGACTTGTCCCCATCAGCGGTCCCAAGCAGTGGATTCAAAACATCAAAGGGCAAGGAGGAATAACTCCTGCTGAGCACAGCAAGGATCCGTGCCACGGGAGACTGCTGCAGGCCCCCGGGAAGGGCAAGGCACAGGGAGCCGCTGCTCCAGGGAGGGGAGGCTCGGAGCGGCTTGGAGGAGCTGCGGGGCAGATCCAGGCTTAAGGAGAAAAAAAAGGGAGAGGATCCAGGTTAGGAAACTGAGCAAGGAGGCGGTGGTGGGAAAGCCAGTCAGGAGGATGTCTTATGCTTTCTGGAGCATGACAGATCAAGTCACTGGGGTTTGTCTTTAGCAACCCTTCCCCTCATCCTTATCCTCTGCTAGTCTCCCTCACCCACTGCCCATTCAGTTGGTGATGAAATCATAGCCATGTTTCTTTCTCAGCATTCCCTGACAGGCATTTTACCTGAGTTCTCACAGGAAACTGCCTGCTCAGTGCCTTCAGCCAGAGGAGGTAGAACACATGAAACTCCACAGGGAACAGGGATGCCCTGAGGGGAGCAGGACTATTCCAAGGGGTGCTGCAACTCAGGTTTTGGAAACTGGACTGCCAAGGGGGCACACCTGGCAGTGTACTGGGGAATGCACAAAGCGCCCCAGAACCTGCCAAGAACCTGCAAATGTGGTGGTGCAGGATTGCATCCTGCAAAACATGACTCGGCAGGCAATGGGGAGAGCTGCTTTGATGTCCTGTCATCCAGCTGGAATTACAGCCCCATCTGCTCTTCCTTGAGGGAGATCTGCATGTCTGGGAGGAGGCTTTGTGACAGGAGGGCACTGCACCGACACTAACAGGGGCTGTACTGCCTGCTCACTCTGGACATGCACTGACACCCCCGCTCATGCTGCACCTTCATCCCCCAGCACCTTCTCCCACTTACCACACAGCATCACTGCCATCTGCCAGGAGAGGTTCACTGTCCTCATCCTCCTCCTGGCAAGGCTATTTGTGTGGTGGCACCTTTTGCTTTTCCCCCACCTGGTACTTGCATGAAGCACTCAGAAAGAGATAATTTTGTTAGACCTAAGAAGTCTGAAAGCAGAGTACATGTATCTCTAATGGAGGAAGTTGGGAATTTTACTTCTAGTCTGATCTAATCCCTATGCTGCAGGTCCCCACTTCTTCCAGCTCCATTAGGAAATTCCCAAGCTGTGTAACATGGCAAGAGATAGGTTCAGAAGGAAGATACATTTCTCCCAAGCCTCATCTCATCCTACTTTAATACTGGTTTATCACACTGAATAAACTGGAGTAATTGTGCAGAAAATTGCTCCATCCACATCATGCCCATCATATATGAGGATTTTCTGCTCTGAGTAACTTGCTGTCACCGGTGGCCAGACCCACCACTGACAGCAGTTTCCTGGGAACATCAGGGAGTATAAGGTTGCTGTGGGGACCAGGGGCTTTACCCCCTGGGAAGGTAGGGCAGGACCTTGCAGTGGGCCCATCCCACCATTCCAGAACAGGACACTGGGGGCAGTCTCAGCGCTGGGCAGCCCCATGGTTGAGATCAAGGTGGGAAGTCCACCTGCAGGTCTGGACCAGGGGAGGCCATGGCCAGGCAGGCACAGCATGTTGGTGCTCTCCTGCTCGCTGCCACTCCGGGGAGTGATGTTGTCACAGGGGTGGGTAGGGGCAAAAATGCCATCTCCCCAGAAATAGGTGCCTCCTTGGACTGGTGTCTACAGGCTGAGCAGGCAGGGCAGGCTTTAACCAGTGCCCAAGCCTGGAGCTTTGGTCCCTGCAGAACACTGACCCCACATCCTGTTCCTGCTGGTCCTGATGTGCTGGGATGGCAGGGACAGGCACAAGCAGGGCACAAGGACAAGTGACTGAAATGTCCTACATAACAGTGTGGGGGAGGAAAGCCTCCACCCCAAGGACTCTTGTACTGCCTGTGACAACAAGAAAGGGAATAAAAATAGTGCCTATTGTAGTGTGCAGGCAGCAGGCTGCAGCAGGGTTGTATAATGGTACCAGCCAGCACAGGCTGGCTCTCCCAGAGATAGCAGGGCTGCTGTGGGAATGTGGGTCAGCTGGGCACAGCCCAACATGGGGCCAGGTGGCAGTGGTCCCTGGTGGAGAGGAGGGGTGTCCCAGCCACTGGCCAAATGCCAAGCTATAACCCCCCAAGTCCCAGTCTGGGGCTGCTGCCAGAGCAGCTGGCACCATTCTCTTCTGCATGCGTCACCCCAGCCTGCCCTTCCCTGGAGCAGACCAGGTCCTGCAATCTATCCTCCCCATGCTCTAGCCCTGAACAGCATGCCAGCCTCCTCCAGATGCTCCCCAGTTCCCCTGTCCCCTCTCAAGCTGGAGAGCCTAAAGCCAGCCAGGAGCAGCCTCACCACTGTCCGGTGGAGGAGACACTCACTCCCCCCTGTGCCCTCCTCCACACAGGAACGTGTCCCCCTAACACTGGTCTGCAAAACTGTGAGATTAAAGAAGGGAAAGAGCTTCCCAGCAGCCAGCATGGCATCAGCAGGAGCCAGGCGGGCTGGACCTGCAGCTGTGCCAGGGCAGCTGTGCTCCTGTCCTCACCCTGTGCACTGTCGACGTGTCAGATTTTGCAGCTGGTGAGCTGCTGTGCTTTGCTGATTGGCTTTCAAATTGCTTTCCGATACCATGGTCCTGTCAAGTGCTTTAGCAAAACCTGGATTTTGCTTTTTTGTGGATTAA